TAAAAATATAAAACAGGTAACAGATTTAGGAGATATTTTTGATCATGAGTAGGGGATTAATAATAAGATTTATAGATATTTCAATTTTGAGTGAACACTAGTACAAAATCAAACAATTTTATTGGTTGGTATAGTGATTCTTTTTGAACAGTTTATATAGATGGCCTTCCAAATGATTTTAAGTTTTAGTCCCTGATGACCTTTTGTTTCTTGTACCCCATTCTAACAAACACAGAAATACTTATTTTGCAGTCACACAGATGCTCGATTTTTCATCAGTTTTTGAAAATGATTTTGAGGGCCTTACGATATTACATAATGTGGATAGTTATTTGAAATTCTAGCCTGAAAGTGGAATGGATTAGGAACTAATTTGCATGAGTTAGTATATCCAATAAGCATCATACCATTCTTTCAATTTGTTAAGTTTCTTTCAATTGGCTACAGTGAATTTACTCCAAAATTTATCCATTTCCCATGGTCGTTAATATGTGAAATGATCAAATGTAATTATTTGTTAGCACACTATTGCAGAAATAGAATAATGATATATTTTGAACCATCTTCAATGAAAATGTAATAAAAAAGCTGCCAACCAGATGTTGCAGCTGAGGAAATATATCTAAGGTATTATCTGAAATGAAGTTATATGTGCATGTTACTATATTGACATTTTGTCACTAAATTTTTGACTAAGTATCTGTTCTTTAATTATTTTTGTTTCATATATTCAGTTTTTTTTTTAAATTCTTTCCAAGATCTTTAATATATAAAAGATTATTTCTTGGGATAAATAAATATAGTTCAACTCGAACATTTTGATTGATTCAATTCAGTTTCAGGTAACCTGAAAGGGAAATTCTTGATTTCAGAAACAAACTCAGGTGACACAGTTTTGAGAGATGAAAAGGGCATATATCATTTTTCGACCATTCAAAAATTTTTACAAAAATTGGAGTCATTCATATCAATGGAACGAAATATATAAAATGGCAACCTGTCAGGATTAAGCACATCAATAAAACGAATAAAATATTCACATGAAGTTATGCATGAAAGAAAACTGTTTGCTCCCTTTATTAAAAAATATGGAGTTGGTTGAACAATGACGAATTTCTGCAGAAACTGATTCGGAAGAAAATCCTAAATGAAACCTGAATAAATGGTTTTAATGATATGAGCTACTCAATTAATTGGTATGTCTCGAAAATAAGCATCATATAAATATATCATTGGTTACATTGTGCACAAATGTAATTCAATAAGGAAAGTGAAATATTGATTTAATCTATTGTAAAAACTTAATTGACATAACATTACCCTTTAGTATCTTTTAGCAAACTGATTTTAACTAAGAACTCTTTGTCAACACACTGACGTAGTTGGAGAGTTCCAACCCCAATAGCTATGAGCAATTCAGATCTGGAAAAATATATTCGTTTTAAATAATTTTCAAAAAATGAAAAGAAAAACTAACCTAGGAGAAATTATTAATTAAAAAAAAAAGTATGAATTTGGTATTTTGATAGTTGCGATGAAACAAGCGTTTCTTCAGTGATAGATTCACAATACCGTACGTATTATTTCGAATACTGTTTCCAGCTAAAAGCAATGCCATTGACCCAAACACTCATTCAGCAGCAAATATTGTTCACATACATGTTACCCCAGCGTGGATTGATCTCCAAGAGACTCAAATTATTTTTCACTATGAACTTGGTTTGCTCAGATGCCAATTTTACAGGATAGCAAATACTCGGATAGATATGTTTGGTTCATCATTCAATTTTTTCACACTAATGAACTATTAAGAATGAATATATCTTCTCCTCTTAGCTACCTAGACAAAGCATCGGGAAAAGAAGGCTAGTAAAATCCAGAAGTTATCTTTGAGCACAATGTTAAAAACTAATTTCCTCAGAACATTGACAAAAAAATGAATCAATCACTTCAGTTGACACCAGTTACAGATGAGTATCGATTTCGTAGATTTGGAGTGACAGAGTTCAACTTCGGCCATCTTAGGATCATGACAGTTCTGTTGCAAAAACAAAACTTGACTACATAAAATATTATGAACACAACATAAATATAGCTTCAGCTGAACCATTGATATTACTTGTCAGTGCAGTGCAGGTTGAATTTTGCAAAACACACAATTAAATTTTGCTGAAAATTAATTGGTGCAATTGAAGACATCCATTTATGGCAAATAACAATAGCTAGCCACTAAACCCTGTCTCCTAGACTCCTCTAACTCACATGTGAGAGAACTATTATTATTTTTATTATTATCATTTTCGATTGTAGAAAGTGACATAGCTTGGAAGCAAGTATACATTAAAATCGCTATTTCAGAAGAGATATTAATTTCAGGCAGCTGAAACTTTGTGCGACTTATTGAATTTTAAAAAAATCTGTTCAAAATATGTTTTTCCATTAATCAGCTGTCGCACCCATACTAACGACAACCCTCAGAAGGACTAACGAGGTCTCACCTTTTAACGTGTGATTCCTAACACGAGTTGGACGACAGCAAGTGAAAATCGATCGTTCAGCCTGGGGCTTGAACCACCTACCAACACGGCAGTCAATTTGAGTGAGTGAACAAAGCACCCACGTCGAACCGACCGTTTAAATATTTCTAATATAAGGCAGGAAAGTGAAAAAAAATGTATCGCTCCCAAAATGTGTATGCTGTTTTTATATTTTGTATGACAAAGATCATAGATATATTCAGGGACCAAATTACCAAAATGGCAATTGGCCATAATCACTTGCTATTTTCTGCACGGCTCCATATACTTGAAAGCAGTCAAAACTGAAATATCGCCAATTTTATTTATTTTTTTTTTCTGAATCCTTCGAATGTGGAATACTTTCAAATGAAATTAAAATTGCAAAGGTTTCGCCCAAATATAAAAGTGGCAAAATAAACAATTTAAACAATTATCGACCAATGTCTGTTTTCAGTTTTTGCAAAAATTTTAAAGAAACTAATATATACGAGGTTTTTGAATTATATTGAAAATAATAACCTTCTATAAGAAGGTCAATACGATTTTTGCATATCTAGCAACACAGAGACAGCGGAAATGGATGTACTATGGCAAATTCAGATGGAAATTGATTTAAAAAAACAGAAATTAGAGCTATTTTAACCAAAATCACAGTATATTTATAGAAAAACATACGGAAAGTATGGTAATCCTTGAAGAAAATGACTGAGGAAGACAAGTTCCTTGTGATTCATTGGAAAGTCGTATAATTTGAATATGGTCAAGTTTTACAAATACATTACTTTTTTGGAAAGCCCAAGAATTGGCGAATATTTTGAAGAAAAATGTGATAAAAACATTTCAGTTGACTTCACAAGGCTTTAAATTCCAAGGAAATAAAAATCCTGAACGAAGTTGTGTTCTCAAGAAGGAAGTAGGAAATTTTCTTTTTCTTTGTCAAAGGTTTGTTGACTGTGCTTTGCAGGTATTTGTGGGTGATGTGGGTGTGCTGAAATAATAACTAAAACACTGCGTACTTTACCTCATATTTACCGCAGTTGTAGGCGAAACGTCAGATATACGAACTTGCAAACCATAGCCAACAAACTTGGAAAATAGATTTGACACAGTTATCTTCCGTCGTGAAAGCTCACATTATTTTTCTGGCCAAAAATATTTCCACATGAGGCTGATTACACTAACTAAAAACTAAACAACTTTCAGATAAATCTGGAATTGGTGAGAGAACTTTTACAGGTCATCGCCTACTGAGGTACCACCTCAGTAAACTGGACAGATCAAACAGTGAGGGTTATCATTACTGCTCCTAAAAAAAGTTATACAGTTGAGGCATTGAGGAACTGAAAGCTTTACCATTCATTACATATCAAAATCAGCGTCAAAAATTCCTTTCTCTTGTTTTATCGATAATCACTTGTGAATTAAGCAAACAGATCGCTGGGACGAAGGACTTATATGAAAGAAGTGAACACAACTTGAGAAGCAGTATTATTTTTTTTAATTTTCTGCACAAATGAACTTCAACAAATTCTCAAATTTTCTGTTTGAATCAACATTATTACTTCTGTTTAGTTTATAGCTATTGCTCTTCTAGAACTGTTGAGATTCCTAAAGTACTAGTAAATGCATATAGATTTTGTTGAACAGTTTAGAGCCTGTCACAAATCGCTACCTGATTCTGTGATCTTGTCTTCATCAATCCTATCAAATACACCAAATTTGAAATTTTGCAAATAAAAAACATGTACGTATGAATTTTGCAAAATTGTCCAATTCAGCAGAAACTAAATCTGTGTGAGTAGTTCATCATCGCTGAGATATATCAACAATATATGATGTTTTATCATTTTAACATGTGATAAAATACTTCCACTGAAAACTGAGCTTTCAATTCGGCTTACTACGAATTCACAACCAGAGGCAACTCATGATATTTTGCTATGTTTTGGAGATACCAAAAAAAAACAGAAAAAGTTCAAAATATTATTCTGATTCTGTTCTCCAAGATTGACAACAAGATTTGCTCCTTCAAATGTTTTCCTTATTTTGATGTAAATACATAATCATCACAAATTCATTTTTCAATTTGAGAATATGCCATAAAGAGTAATTATTCAACATTAGTGGTTATAGAGGGTCAAATCATTACTTTTCATGTTCAAGATATTCTCATATGTATATAAAATATACATATGAGGTAGAAAGAATTGGGATTTCGAAACCTAACAGACTATATTTTAGAAGTAGAGTCATCAATAAAGATACAAGAATAGAACAAGTTAATTAGAAAAACTGTTACATCTTCTTAGTAGGTACAACATGATCATTCATATTTATTTTAGCAGTGTACATCAAATGCCCACAAGTGAAAGAGAGTGTTGAACTTCATTTTTCAGACATGAAAAGCAACTAACACTCAACATACATGCCTTGAACACTGACACTATGAACACAAACTTATCCCATGAACAAAACATTGAGAGACTGATAAGGTACTTACGAATTCTTCGGTTCTCCTATGTACAAGTCAGGAGACTTCTTCTTTATCTCACTTTCTCTAATGACATCGGTCAATGACTTGAATACAGTAGTGTTCATCCTGAAAATTATAAAAGTCTTTAAAAAAATTAATCATCACTTCATGATATAAAATATGATGACCCTCTCGCTCTGATAGATGAAGTTACATGTAATAGTTTGAGGAATTGTATGTAAAGAAGTTGGTAGAAATTGAATAAATGCAACAGTGAAATTATGAACTGTTCACAGTAAAACTAACAAAATTAAATTTCCCAAACCAGACTTTTGTCAAACATTCCATCAACTGTTATCAGAAAATTTTTGCAATGCTTATAATATTCAAATGTTTACTATTTACTTTAGATTGATTCTATACTTAAGTCACACGAAAAATAATGAGTTTTACTCTAACAGAATTCAACGGTGCTTAAGTCTCGCTCGTATTTTAGCTAGATCTGCTCTGTACATTCACAGTTCTTCAATTGACATTTTCAAAATATTAGTACCATTAAGAACAGCAAAATTCAAACTCAGCACGATCAAACCTCTTTTTAATTTCTGATATGATTCGATCAAACACCATCATTTTTTCTCCAGAAAATGATTGAACAGGTTAGAGAATTTGTAATTCATCTTCACATATCTCATCGCAATGTTTTTTACGTTTCGGAATTTGTTTGTTTCACAAAATAGACTCAACACCAGTTTTTTTAGCAATTTCTCCAGCCTCTTTTATCCAATATTTCACATTAATGTATCGCAACTGACAAGGATAATATCTTCATTCTGAATTTCTATATTCACTCGGTTGATTTTGTGGAAAACATTCGCACAAATGGTTGAATTAAAAATGAATTAAAATTTTTTTATAGCAGTTAAGAGATGAACTGCTTCATACTTAGCTTCTGGAGCATGACAAGTTTGCTTAACTTCTAAGGCCATATTTGACCCATTATCATAAGATTGGCCACGACATAGTCCAATATCAATATCTTATAGGATTTGGTAAATTTTCGTTATGTGGACACCCCGCGATTTTGAAAAAATGTTTGACTGTACTTACGTATTTTGATGCGTAGATTACGAATCCGAAAGAAAAAAGCGGCGCTCTCCCTTATTTAAAAAGTTACGGCCCTTCAAAGTTCAGAAAAGGGCAACTTTTCAGCCTTCTTTTCCACTAAATAAACTATTTAATTTTTTCAAAATCGCCGGGTGTCCACATAACGAAAATTTACCCTTTGAAGGGCCGTAACTTTGTAAATAAAGGAGAGCGCCGCTTTTTTCTTTCGGATTCGTAATCTAAGCATCAAAATACGTAAGTACACGCAAACATTTTTTCAAAATCGCCGGGAGTCCCCAAAACGTAAATTTACCAGTAGTTCTGAAATCACCACTATTGTGGTAGTACTGAATATCCGGTTAGATATGGAACATGATTTCCTGAAAATTGGTGAATCAACCTTCAAAATAGTTACCGATAATTTTGTTATGGTGATAGTGAATATTACTGGAGTTTTTTCCCAACACCAAATCGTTATTTTTAACACCTCGACACGTGTTTCGATCACCAAGTGATCATCTTCAAGGGGAAGATAAAACTGATAGTGCCAAGTGGCAGGTGACAGGTTTGAAATATTTGTTAAACGGTTTCATTTAGCTTGCCCTGTTCGTTTATTTGTTTAGAATTTTATTTCATCGTCAGAACTTGAAAATAAAAATAACTTGAAAAAAGAAGCAACTAACTTCAATTTTCATCTTAATCACTATAAGTTTAACTAATTGGAAAATGTATGGTCACAGTGTATAGTTTTCATTTCCACTTCAAAAATGATTTGTCTATTGACTAATAAAATTGAAAATAGACACAACCGGTCTGATTCAAAAGTAAAAATTATGTTCACTAATGGTTAAGAAACGGATATTTCTGGAAAATATATTAGGTAAAATATTCACAGAAAACTCAACTTCTTCTAACTTTCAAGACATCAAACAGATTGGATGTGTAAAATAATAATTGACAGTCTTCACTCAAGAGAAACAATGTGTGTAAATGTATCCTCTATCAAATTTCAAACTTTTATTAGAGTTGCAGACATAAAAAAAAATGAAAACTCAAAATAAATATCTAGCTCGTTAATACTTGATTTTCAAGAAAGATTCAACTTACACTTTGATGGCAATATCAGGTAATGAGGTAATTATCGGTATAACAATCAAGCCCAACCAGAATACAGCAGACGAAAAGAGCATAATATACATTCCAGACATGATACTTCCAAATGGTATTGTTGGCCAGAATAAACTGAAATTGAAAATAACTTATAGTAATAAAATATGTCAAGGTATTGACAAGTTCAACACTGTTATTTATTTGCCTTTATGGGTATTGACAAAGGAGTAGTATTTACTGAAAGATAGAATTGCAAATACTATTTCCATACATAATAATTTTTAAGACTCTTTTTGACGTGATTTTCAACAATTATATTAGCCCCATGGTTGAACTCATGCCCCTCTGTCAAAATATGGTTTGCAAATGTGGATTTGGTATTCACATTCGAAAAACTACTCCTATGTTCTTTTATTTTTTAGGAAAAGGTTCTCCCGTTTGGCCAATATAAAGTTCTGAGGAACTTTATATTGGCCAAAAACGTTACTCTTTACTCTGAATTACAACTTAACCCTGGAGGACAATTTGCCGGTAAAATGCCTGGGACTAACATTAGATTGTAAGCTGACATGGGAGGCTCACATAACCAATCTGAGAAATAAATTAGCTACCTCCATCTATCTCTTAAGAAATATCAAAGATATTGTAAATGAAAGTGTTGTTCTCACAGCCTACCACGGTCTCTTTCACAGTACCATGTCCTACGGAATTCTCTTATGGGGTGGATCGGCACATGTTGATAAAATTCTCATAATGCAAAANTGATTTTGAATAGAATACCAATGAGGGTTGCTACTTTTTTTCAAATGATTTCAATATATTTTGCCCATGATAAATTTCAATCTATATGTATATAATCCTAGGAATTTATTAGAATTGGTATAACATATTAAATTGTTATCAATAATCATAGGATTGGTATAACTGTTCAATAATCTCTTAGAAATACTTATATATGAAGAAGTTTGTGAATTTAGAGTTAACTTATTCTCTCGAAGCCAACCTAAAATTGTTTTCATGTCTCTTTTTATATCATCGTGATATCATCGAATTCCTTAAAATGAGGTTCCATATTCGATTGAGGTTCACCGCTTCTTCTTTTCTGTTGAAATTCTCCGTGTGTTTGTGGATGGGGAATTCGAGAATAACGAACAGGACAACAGTCAGCGAGATTGTTAATGTTCCAGGTTCAAGTGCAGGTACGACTACAGGTACAAGAGCAGGTACGAGTACAGGTACAAATACAGGTACAGATACAACGGATTACCTAACAAGGCATAAATACGCTTTACGAAGCCTAAAAGGTAGTCATCGGACAGCAAGCCATGATGGTTAAACCTCTGAAGAAGCTAGCCACTAGCGCCAGCGAAACGTCAGGAAGGAAATTCCAAAAATCCACGGCTTTCAAACTCGAAAAAGCAATGACACTGAATTATCTACGTTATTATTATATAAATATCAAAACAAATTTTATAAATTTCGGTTACTTCAAGTCCTGCATTATAGTTACTTATAAGTAAGAGCAATAACATCTGTCCTTAAAAAAACGACATATATGGGATCGACGAAGAACTCAGTCCTCGAATCTCAGAGATAAAGGCTCCCCAAAGCGGCCAGTTACAAAGCCAAGCTTCAAATGGATTTAAATCTCCAGTGATTCAAATGCAATGTGAATCGCTACTTTCACACAGGCACCGCTCTGAGAGCGCCTTGAGGATTTTTCTGTAGTGCTTGTGTTTTCACCTTGAAAAAAACCAACAACTGCCGACGAGATTCGTCATTGGTCTTTCACTGCAGGGCAACTAGTTGTAAACTAAAGCCCAAACACAACGTATTTATGATTTAACACCAGACAATACTGTTTCGACTCGCCATTTTCTCATTAGTGGTGCTAGGCTGAACCACAAATGCACTGCTGGACTCAACTGTCCTTAAAGGACAAGATCGAGTTATTAAGGGCGATGACATCTTCCTTGCGAAGACGCCATTCATAGTTACTCATGATTCTTGGAATTATTATAGAATTTGTTGGGCCTTGCATATTAAGGTTGAACAAATATACAATTATAGTAAGAAATAAACAAATGTAATAATTATTGTAACCTTATTTTTTCAAGTTGTCTTGAATTTCGGGGGAAGAAAACCACTTATCGCTTGAGAGAGATCTTATGTACAAAACAAAATGCATAACATTGAACATGGAGATATTCTTGCAAGAGGTTAGTGCGTTTGGCTTCCTATAAGGTATTATAAGTGTTTTCAATCACAAACATCGAGAAATAAAGTTTGAGTATACTAAATTTCAATGTTAGTGAAATTTCAATCCCCTTCTATTTATTACCTTGTGCAGTTTTCCTGTGAATTTCATAACGAATATACGGAGAACAGACTACATGAAATAATGTTTTTCATGTAATTCAATGTTCATGTGAAAATAGTTGTTTCGAGAGAAGTTTTTCTTTAAGTTTGTATCTGAAAGAAACTTCTGTGCATGATCTACACATCTTTGATGAAAGAATTTCTCTTAAAATCAATCCCTATCTTTCTTGATTAGTTTCCCACAATTTCTTGTATAAAGATAGATGAAGTATTAAGCCAAAAACTTTTTTCTCCAATTTATATTACATACCTATATATTATGATGAAAAAAAACCACACAACTATCGAACCCCATATGGCACAATGAGTCAACCAAGTCCATGAATTCGTAACTAGTCCCGCTTTCAGGCATACAGTTACAACAACATACTGAAAAAAATATTAACATGAAATACATTACATACTACAAGGAATAAAATGCAATATTTGTTCGATTGATGACCTATTTATTTTGTAGAAATTCATATTGAATATTGTATAAAAAAAAACTTTTGTCTAATTTCTACAGCCAACAGCATATGCAGGAATAACTTCAGTGAAGAATCCTGCACTGACACCTGTCGGATATAATCCAACGCCCTTCGTGGTATTAGCCAGGGGAGTAGTTGTTTTCTGATAGGTGTCAGTCCATTAACCTACTGTGCAGGGAGTTCGGACTGGCCTGAACCAATTGTTCTTTTAGATGATTTATATTCTTCTATCTATTTATTTCTCTATCTATCTATCATATATGATTAAATATAAATATTTTGTTAAACAATCAACAGTCTTGAAAGGTTGCAATGGTGTTTTGTCATTAATCAACCTAGCTAATGTCACTCACTGTTTTCAGCAATCCTATGTTTGGTTTTTATTTACCAAGAAACTTTCTCCTTATTCAAGTACATAGGCGTTCGCGACTGGAGTTACGATTGGAAAAAACAAAATCTGATGTGGTAGACCTCTGTCCAAAGGAACTTGTAGTAACCGAACGTTTTGTCTGCTACGGCAGCAGACATCTTCAGTGTTGTAGGCGTTGACTGAGAGCACGAAGGTGGTATTGCTATGTCACAGCAAATGACTAGATTGGGGAACTCTGTGCTCACTCGTATTTATAGTACTAGGAAGGTGGTATGGTCACAATAATGCTCACTCCTGATTGAACCGCACTTGTACTAGGTTGTACTGTTTGGTCCACGTTGTGGATAGGTGTACTGCTGATGGGATGTTGATCGAATTTTATTTTAGTCCATTTATGGATTTCTTGACACTTGCATACTGGGTACCACCTTCTACTGACTCTTATATTATCTTCCTTTCTGTTGAAATTGTTGGTATGCTTATACATCTCAATGACTTCCTTATGAAGCCGTGTGTGGTGATACGTAGACAAGGAAACAGTTTCTTCATATTATATTTCGAGGTCTGTTTCTGCTAGAACATGTTCTGCTGTTCACTTTAAACATACCAACCTACCTACTATGAAATAATGAATCCTAGCTGAACTGCTGAATAACTTGAATTGAAATTCGGGAATTTTACTCTAAGATTTCATATTTGGGGTATTTCGATTTTTCCTAAATTGAAGTGGGTAGGAAATACTGAAGAGACAGACTCTGGAAACTCCGATTTGCATTACTCGACTATAAAATCCAAATCTAACATATAGTGACAAAATAATTTCATCGGAACTTTTACTTCTTACATTGTGACAAATAAATTTGCTTACCGTATATACACAGTTTCCCATAACCAAATATCCTCCGTCACGACCACCTATCCATAAAATGTCATTCTGACAAGCCAACATCGGCAACCAGAATAGCACGGCCGAATGTATTAACCCATTTATGATCCAGATCCAGAAAACTCTTATGTTAAACAACTCCCCACTCTGCGACGGTTTATACAACTTCGGATACATCATCATATTCTCGGCACTGCACGGCTTATCGAACAGTCCCATAGCAAGAGGAGGTAACGCAGTAAAGAAAACATTGTATAGACCTATGGACCATCTTTCAAATAGAATCTGTCCTGACCAGGCAGAATAAATCGCAAACCATAATTCGATGACGTACAGACAGATGTTCTTGTAGAAGCTGTATAATATGATCTTGCACATTCGAGAATAGTTCCATGCTCCGTGTACCAGGAGAAGTCTTTGAAGAAATCTGAATCTGAAAATAAAATTTAGTAAAAAGTGGAAATCCATCCAAATTAAACGTGTATACAAAATTCAAGTTCAATTAGTTGAGGATAAGTTGCAAGATTTATTTCGAACTTAACATACATACAAACATTGCAAGTTCAATAAAACATTGTAAAATAAAATGTTTCACTGAATATTACTTACTTATCTTTTATTCAAAAAAAATGACACCCTATTTAGAACACATAAAGGTAAACTTTCACCAAATATGGTGAAAAACAAATGATTCTTACTTATATGAGCAAAAAATAAAAAAAACAGGTTTAACAATTTTACTTTCTTACTTGCTTATTTGCTTTCACCTTATTTGGTGAAAATAAATTTTCACCAAATATGGTGAAAAGCAAATGATTTTTATATGAGCCCAAAATTAAAAAAAAAAACAGGTTTTCCAATTTTTCCCTAAAAATGTTAGGTTATGTGGAAAAATGGTTCATATAAATAGTGTAGATATTTACTTTACCAACAACTGTCACAAATTTTTCAATAGGTCTAGTTTTCCTGATATCTTGGATCAACTCTAATCTATTTTTCCTGATCATGATTTCTTTCTGTTCAAAAAGAATTGCATTGGCTTAATACATACTGTGCAATACTGTAGTCTGATGCGCAGGCAGCCTGCAGACCTTCACATCCAGAAATCCCAACGCCAACGTGGGCTTTTTGTATCATAGCAACATCATTTGCGCCATCTCCAATGGCCAGAGTTACGCTTCTGGTGTATTCTGTGACATACTCAACGACTTCAGCTTTCTGCATGGGTGAAACACGACAACAGATAACAACTTTACATGACACACAAAGTTTCAGAAAATCTGTCCTTAACTCGCATGATAAAGCATACTTCAATGTTTTTCCATCGATAATTAAGGCAATGTCATTTTGTTTTTCTAAATTGACCCCCAGTTCTTCACAGTGCCTCAATATAGATTCTCTAGCTTTCTGAAACAAAACTTCTTGATTGGCACTTCATTTATAAATTTCAAATATATGAAACATGCATATTAATTGCCAAGTATACACTGAGTTTTGTGAAAAATTATTACCCAATCTAATCAAAAATAATTTCAATGAACCAACACAAATTCAAAAACTACCGAAAGAATTTTAATACAGTTTTCATCGATGGATAGTGATTCAAGAGGAAGGTAGTAGATAGCAGGGGAGTTTGGTCTCAAAATCTCTCTCTTTATAGTGGAGGTACATTCTGAATATTTTCAAATCTCCAAGCAGGCGGGCCCTTGTAGGATACCCAAATTGAGGTAGATATCAAGTGTGGATGACATCGGTGAGTGGTAAAAAAACAAAGATTGTTGCCTGCCAAAAAGGCACTGAGTTGTATCTTCGTTAATCATAGTCAGACCATGAAATTTTTCATCACCAAGACGGGGTGGCATTACTCCCAGGGTAAAAGCAACCCCCTGAACAGGGTTAACTTTGAAGTCTAGGATAAGTAGAACACTTATGCAAATTTTTGTGAATAACAGGTCATCATTCTTATACGGGGTGCTTATACTGATATTTGATCACAATGACATGAGCTAAAATCTGTTTAAAATCTGTTTTTCCGTTAACCAGCCGTCGCACCCCTACGATCGACAACCCTCAGAAGTCGAAACTTGTGCGAGCCAATGATTAACGAGGTCTTATGTTTTAACGTGTGATTCAATACAAATGTAGTCAACCTAATCGAAAAAAATCCCATAAGAATAGGGTGGAACTTTTTCAATGGATAAAGTAGTATTTGAGACCTAGATAAGACAAAGGCAGTTACTTTCAATATGCGATCTAATAGGAATAGATCATTTAAACCATGGTAGAATTGTAGTTCTTTGCTTGATATGAATCTAATAAAAACAAATTTTCCACACGAAAAGTAAGGCACCGGGAAAATGTTAAGTTATGTTAAAGAGAGAAGGAGTGAAGTTTTGTACTGATAAAAATGTTAAAAAAAAATTTGTAATAATTATTGGTGAAGTGAAGGAAATAAATCGATAGAAATACTCAGAAGTATAATTTATTGAACAATAAAAAAGAGTTTCCAAACGGGTTTTTCTTTCAGTTTGAATCTGAAAGAAACTTCTAAGAGTTTTTAAACTTACTTGCTTTCTCTCTTTCTTCGGAAATTTCCCACATTTTTATAAAAATGGAGAAGTAGAAAGCCAAAAAGTTTTTTCCAATTATCAGCTATATAATGAAAAACAATAGTATACTTAATATTTATATATAACGAAATATAATTGTATGGAAAATTATATGGAAATGGGTGATTGAACAGTGTGTTTCCCCACTCTACTAGACATATCCTTATGCTACTAGCTTGGTTAGTGAAACGCTCGTCGAGAAATAGTACTTTAGTTTTGGTATGGAAAAAGTGTTTTCATTATTTCAAAATCATGAGATTCAAAACTACATTCAAAATAAGTCTGATCAAACAAAGAGTGTTCCTGACATCATTGACAATCCCTATACTCCCATATAAGTACAGCGTATTCTAGAACGCCAGGAACGTTGTTGGCTCAATGAAGTTTAATCTCGAATGCACCTCAAAATAAATTCATACATGATACTAGGAAATCAAGAACTCACATCCAGTCCATCTTCATTGAGTATAATTAACTGCATGCCGCTAGTTAACAGTTTACAAGAATAACCTATGTTAATAGCTGTTTCCTGTTTATCCCCAGTAAGTACCCACAGATTAATATCGGCTTGCAGCAAAGCAGCTATTGTATCTGGAACACCATCTTGGAGCTTATCTTCAATTGCGGTGGCACCTATTAGCTTCAGTTTCCTTTCAATCATATTGGCCGCTTCTTCTATTTTTTCTGCAGAGTAAAAAATCATTTGAAAAATGTTTTTATTTGCTCATGAATATATATAATATAGGATCCGAAGAGAGACAATTTTTCATCCATCTGTTTATCAGATGAAACACATTTTATATTAAACCTCATACATAGAATACATCTAGAATAAATTGCCTATAAAAATATCATTCAAGGAATGTGTATATACAGTGCATTCCATTTAAAACGAGCCACTCTGAATAACTTTTGGTTCAATGATTTGCAGGAAAAATAAAAAAAACGTCAACCATAGTATACCGGGGGACACATTTTGACATATTCATATTTGATGTTACACCCCTATCGCACCCCCAGAGCATGTACCAATTTTTTTAAATGGATCACCCTATATTGTTTCGATAAATTGATGGATGTAGCCATTACTACGTGGCAAGAAATGATAATAAAGAAAAGAGGATTGAAACTTTCTGTTTTTTACCACTTTTATAAAAGTGGTAAAAAGGTTCAATTCTCTTTTCTTCACTATATTGTTTCGCATTATCAGATGCTCCATGATGAGCAATTTCAACAAAGTATAAAACATATGGTCTGAAGTTTATGGTTCAGGAGCTACAAGTTATTCGAGTTGAAAACAAGCCACCCTGAATAACAACTCAAGAATGTACCTCCCAGGCCACTGAATAGGTCCATAAGTGCCAATCCACTTTTCTGGAAAGATGGTATTCAGATGTTCTCTTACGACTTGAGAATTGTAAGGTGGCGCTCCATCTTGTTGAAAATAGATATCAACTTGGTTAGCCAGTGGCAAATCTTCAATGAAATAATTAATTTGAGTTTCAAGGAACTGTAGATATCTTTTCGCAGTCAGTGGTCTGTCGAAAATATTAGCCCAAAAAGTTTTTCTCCGATAGTACCCATCCAGCAATTGAAACCAAATCGCTCTTGAAAATTTCCTTCTTGCATCAGATGTAAATTTGTTCGAGACAGTACCTTTCATTATTCATACCCAAGTTGGTGAATCGGGTTTCATCTGAATAAATAATTTTAAATTTAAAACGTACATCTTCTCTGCATTTAGTGAAAAACCAGTTGCAATAAGTCAATCTTCGGTTGTAATCGTTATCGTAAAGATGTTGATATAGTTGGTACTTGAATGATCAATAATTATATTTGTGAAGAATTCTCCAAACGGACGAATAACTTATATCACACTCAGAAACAATTTGGCGAATTGACGCCATACAATTAACTTCAAGATAGGCCAACACGTCTACTTCTTTTTCTTCACTGGCGATGAAGTTATTGGCATTTTTTTCTGGTTCATTTCGCATTTTTCTTTCCAGTTTTGGAAAATAATGTCCAGTGGGATGGCGACGATTAAGGCACTTCTTGAGCATAAATTCGAGCTACACCGTTGCATTTTTTTTTTGTTTCTCCGTAAATTAGCAATATGTCAATTTTCTTGTTTCTAGTGTAATTTGCCATATCTAATTATAAACTACACAACAAACACATTTTTAAAAGTGACAGCATATTCATTAGCCTATTTGTTCAGGTAGTCCTAGCAACAGCATCAATTGTTTGTCAGGGATATCTAGAATAACAGGACTTGCATAAGTACACCGAATATGTATTATTTGTTATTAGGTATGATCGTTTCTTGCAATTATTCAGAAAAATAGAGAAAATAAAGTGAAAGTGTGTAGCATCAAATTATTCATAAGAAAATGATCCTTCACAAAAAGCCGACGAGCCACCCCCTTTCCATTTGAAAAAATCAAGTTAACTGAAAAAATTCATATTTGCGACGGTGACATAATTCTTAAAACGACTGTGAAGTCATAAGACTCAAAGTCGTAATTTTCCCATGTTACCTGATCAAGAATGAAGCGAGTTACACGATTCATGGCATTCTATATCAATAAATAAAAATGATTTTATTTGTCAAATATTGACAAGTGAAGTATTGTTGGATTTAGAATGTCATTCTCCTTCGAATTAAGTAAAAATGTATAGGATGTCCCATTTAAAAATCGAATGTTGGGGTCATTTCCGTTCAAACCGGAAGTGCGGCAAAGTAAGTAAATATGTCAAAAAATGTTAATGGAACTATAATACATAACCCCCAAATTTCGTTTTTCTATCTCCAATAATAAAAAAGTTATATGGGCGAGCCACCCACATAATCACCCGGTATATACTGTGACGAGGTGATTTATTGTCATAAAGTGCAGATAGTAACACTACTGGGTCTTTAGCATTCTACTGTGACCTCGTCATCATCCCTACCACCGTCCATATCGTCAGCAGATACCCAAAACGAATATAAAACTGCTAATTACTCGAAAACAACTGATTCGATTTTCAGAAATGAAAACGTGTTGAATAGAGAATTGAAATACCAAATGAGTTATCACACGACCTCCCCTTTCGTTTAGAAATAAAGGTGTAACGCCCTCTTGAGTGATGCAACACCAATATCTTTCGTAATGAAATGTACTAAAATTGATATCTCTGGTTAAAGGGGGGGGGGTGTGGACTATTTACGTACGCACTGTAGAATTTAAGTCTTTATATTTGAATGAAAACTTATTATCAAGCTGCATGAAAGTGTCATCTTTGAGGTTGTGAGTTATTACGCATTGGCATATCCATATTTAAATAAATTTACAATGCTGTCGCTTGATCAAGGTTAAAAATTTTAATATACACATTACCTTCTCTATGCTGAATGGATATGCTAGCTTTATGGTATAGCTGTTTCCAGTCGTCAAAATCATTTGCCTTCAATTCAGCAACTGCACAACAGAGCGTCCTCAACCCTTCACTAGCAAAATTTTCCAAATGCTGCAGCAGTACATCTCCATGTTCTTTTCCTGAATTGTTGTCCAGTCTTTCATATATAACAGTGTCTGCTCCTTTACAGTACAATTTTATTTTACCTTTAGGATCTCTAACTATAACAGACATTCTCTTTCGGGCTGAAGTGAATTCTAGAACTGTTAAAATTTCATACCGTTCTCGGACACCTAGGGCACTGATTTCAACGGAATCTGGTGTACGGCTTTCAAAAATATATCCGTACTTGGAGGCTCCGTAGACCAACGCTCTTTCATCGGGTGAGGCCGCATGGTAAACTATACTTCCGTCGGGCATTTTTTCAGGTATCACGGTGTGACAAACAGATAAAAGGACAAGCAAATCCTTGAGAAGATCAGCATCTTTGCCACCCTGTTTTAAATTCTGGAAAAAATTATATTACCTGATAATAAGGAACACAACTGATAATTTAAAAGATCAAAGAACAACGAAAACTAAGAAATGATACCAATTTTGTCTGATCTATTTGAAATCATGTATTCTTTTAGAAAATATGATAAATGTATATTTCATTCATTAACGTTTTATCTATGTTAGACATATCTATATTGTTATTATTTTATTTTGAAAGTACTTTTTGGCCAAAATCCCATAAATATTTATCTAATTCTGCTAGATGGAAATTATTCTTACACTTGGGGTAACAAAAGGTTACACATGTATGGTGAATTTGTACATCCGAAATAAGTCGACAAAGTAATTAAACTTAAACAACGTGGCTTCTACTCCAAACAATATTTCAACGAAAAATTGGTTTCATTTAGTAATTAAATTTATTTGATTTTTCACTATATCAGGTTTACAAAACTGTAGCATGTGTTTCACTATACACTAGCTTCCTCAAGCAGGATTTGATTAACTACTTTTAGGTTGAAACATTTTATACTCCAAAAACATTACTATGATTTACAGTCCGTTCAGATAATTAATTCTAATCTAGTTTGAACTACCTGAAAAGAGCGGATACAATCATTCCAATAACTAGTTAAAGCAGGTAAAAATACTTAATCACTAGTAAAAATTTTGTGAAAACAGCAAATAAATTGATAAATATTTCATATTAATTATTCTAGGGTGACAAAGCGTGATTATTTGGTGAGAAGATATCAAGCAACAAATAGCTATTTAACTCAATTTGATCGTTCATTAGATATAAGGAGTTTTTGTACACATTGATTTCCATACTTTCCAGAAGATCAAGTTACAAACCTTTCTTAAGAAAATGAAGAGTTTTGAGATCATGATTGAATTCATATTCCTCTGCAAGGAAATGAGTAGCATACTTTTATGCGTGCTTTAAATGTCCTTCCAGTCACACTTAAATTTTTTACATAATGTGGTTTGGCATTAAGCTGCCGATGTACGGAGTAGCCCAAATTGGACACCTTTAAAGAGAAACTTCTGTTTTCAAACTAGATAGATGAAAACTGATGTTTGATTTTATGACAAACTTAATGGTGAAAACCGCATATCAATATCTATCATCGTTTCTGAATTACAGCATGTTTTTCGAAATTGTGCATTTTCGAAAAGTTGCTGTAACTTTTTTCCTTTCAAAAATTTCTTGTTTCTATGAAAACATTTACATCTACGAAGAATTCAATGGTATGAAAAACTTATTTTTTTTCAAATGAGATATCAATAGTTATTGATAGAAAACAAATTCAAGCCACACAGGACCAGAAGAGCTCATCAACTCAAACCAGGAGATTTTGAACGCCGCATATCATTTTGGGAGTGGTTCCTGGAAAATTGTAACCCAGTGCGTGATTTTTCGTTAAATTATATTCTAACAGATGAAATTTATGTAAACAGTGCTGGTATTTTAAACTGTTACAATACTAATACTTGGGCACAACAAAATCCTCATTCTATTGTGGAGCAGAGAAGTCGAGGAAAATTTGGATTCAGTGTGGGGGCAGGTGTTTTCAATGGTAGAATTATCGGCCGTTCATTCATAATGGCACTCTCACATCTCAGAGGTATTTATACATTTTAAGGCAAAATATTGAACCCCTTGTTGATGAATTGCCACCAATGTAGAACAGAAAAATATTTTTTCAACAAGACACGGCTTCGCCTCACAACACTGCAATTGTCACCAATTTTTTGGCTGCAAATTCTAGTAATAATTGGATAGCCAACCAAGAACCCAACCGTTGGCCGGCCAGGTAACCGGAATTAACACCTATGGACTTTTACCTCTGGAGAAGGTTGAAAGATCCAGTTTTTTAATTGCTGNAAAATAGGAGTAGTCTCTTGAATTTCAAGACCAATTGATGAAAGTTAATTGAATAAAAAATTCCAATTTTGTTCAGAAACCTTTGAATTGAATAATGAATATTATAAGCAACATTGCTGAATTTAATTTCAGAATAACTTCATACCTGAACTAAAATGGAATCCTCAAAGTTGTCAGTAGTAGTATAAATATTCGGTCCTACGGCACATTTTTTGAATTCCATTACATTCCTAGTTAGGGTTCCAGTTTTATCTGAAAATATGTATTTTACTTGGCCTAACTCTTCATTCAAATTAGACGTTCTTGCCATTGCAGGTGTATCGGTTTCAGCATGGTACATTTCAGCATCCATATTGATAAAACCTGCCTGTAAATAAATAAAAACAGTTATATGATACAACATATGTACTACCTGCTATACAATAAAATAATCCAAATATTGTATAACATTCAAAAATTCTAACATCATAAGATTGAGTTTTATCACGACCCTAACAGAAAAGATCACAGTCTATTTCACTTGAAATAATTTTAATTTCGAATCAATTTTGTATTTATTGTATTATGCAATTTTCATGTTGTGTATTCCTCATTGAATTTTTATGTGTTAATAATAAGTTTTATGAATGAACATGGAAGATTTGATTTGAGTTTTAATTGGTTAGTTATGAAATACTTTTAAAATGTACTCACCTGAATAAATCTAACAACTTCCAATGTGACTTGAAGAGATATGGGTATCAAATTATTGAATAGAATCAAGAATGTCAATAGATTGTATAAAAAATTATGAGAGCTACCTGAAAAAAAAATGGTGTTATTCAAAGATATAAGTGAGAAAAAAATATTTTAACAAAATATGGACCAAAAGTGAATTTTTTGCAACTCAAAAAAAAATCCAAGTGACTTTCGTCAAAATATTGGAGGTGACTTCCAAAACCTAGCCTGCCCAATTGAAAACAACATGTCATATATTAGGGGAAAAATATATATTGAAATTTTAGCACTAGACACTTTTTTATGTTTTAGAATATAGCCAGAATTCAGTAGAGTTCCACATGGGATGTATTAGCTCCAATATTGGTCATAGCTGAATTTTTACCTGAGTACAATATCACACTTTATGTAGTTGACTAATCTTTTCTGTTCTAAGAGAAGTTCATGTAACTTGAAAGCTAGTTTATGGCAAATCACATGCTTTTTAATCCAGAAAAATAGAGTATCTAATCTTTTATACAAGACAGAGGTTGATTAACAACACCCTTCTCAATTTCACTTGATACAAATATTACCAGGGACTCAGCCATAAAGTTCCCGGGTATTACTTTGGAGGATGAGCTTAATTGGCATAAACATATCACCAGTGCAATCGAAATTATTTACCAAAAATAATATGATGAACTTTTTTTATTGAAATACAGTGTGCATTACTACATGTATATATTCTGTTGCAAGGAAATTTATTTTCCCTGTGCAAAGAAGATATTTCCAGTATGAAACAAAGCACTTAGAGGTGCCATTGGGAATGTTTCACTAAGATTTTCTCATAAACCTCTATTTTAAGAACTGAATATTCTACCTTTGGCCTTCTTGTACATAATTGAATTTGCCTGTTATACTAATGAGATAAAAAGCAATCTGCCCAGACATATGGTTATAAATAAATACCAAACTAGATATGGCCATTTCATCTATCTAAGCCAAAATAAAATTCCGAAACATCATGAAAAAATTCTCATCTGACATTTATTTTATAACTTCTTTGAAAGTTTTGGTTGGTTTCCAGGTTTTGCAGTCGTCTCCTTTGGTTATAATCGTCAGTTTCAGTTGACATGTCAAGAAGAGTACTTTGACCACGCCACTGAAGATGACTGCCGCAGTTGCAATCGAAACGTTTGAAGATTATAACCAAAGAAGACCACGGCAAAACCCTGAAACCATCCAAAACATTGACGTCAGCCGTGAAAGCCTACATTCCTATATAACTTCTTTGAATGTTGTATTTTAATTATATGATGTGTGATACTTGATACTTGCAACAATAAATATATCTGAAGCTTCCGATATTTCTTACCTTCTAGTCCAATATACCAATCAGTCGAGGCATGTTTATTGATCCATATAACATTAAATATTGAACACAGTAAACACATTACGAAGAGTACTCCAAACAATAGTAATATTTGTATATTAGTTAACTTATCTACAGTAGAACGCTTCAGAGGGGCTAAAGTTGAATTCCTCATCAGTTTTGTTTCATGTCCTGTATAAATGACAATACCAAAAACCCAAGATGTATTTCTTAAAATAGCTCCTCTTAACAACAGTTGATCAGGTCCTAATGGTTCTGGCCTAGAACAATTATTCCATATTTTATTATGAAAACCTTAATAGTTCAACAAACAAGCTAATATTTGAAATTTATTGTGTATTTGTCGTTTGTAGATGACACTAATCTATTGAAATAATGTGAATCACAAAAGAATATTATAAGTTTAAAAGTAAGTGACATTATCTTCAGTTTTCTACATAGCTTGGTACGATTTTAACATTATGATCTGGAAAAAATTGAAAGACATTTTTCAGTTTCAGTGATCTGGTGATGATACTTAATTTCTTTGGATTCAGTCTCAATGCCAAATAGAGTATCTAGGTAGCAAGTGAAATATTTTCGTAATTACATAACAGAAAAGTGTAATGCAGAGACAAAAAAACAGTCTTCGCAAATCTTATCATGACAAAATTCTTCGCGATATTGCCACAATATCCTGCCGTGACATTTCTGTGATATTTTGAAGATATAACAGAGGTTACAACTGATTACATACATCCAATACTCACGATTTGTTACTCAGTTTAAGAACGCCATTGAATTCATATAAAAGCTTATTTGGAGGTTCACATTCAACGGTCCCTGATAATTGTTTCAAGTCATGTGTATTAGTAACTACTGCTGTACTGGGAAGAGCTTGTCGAATTTTTAAATTTGTCTCACCGTCCAAGTTTGCGGTTTCAATAAAACTCATGCCCTGTGGTTCACTGAAATGAAAAAAATATCTAAAATGATTAACGTACTAGATAAAAGTTGACAATTTTTGTCCACACTTTTGCTAGATGTGATCTTAATTTATATATTCAGAAATTCATGTGAATATCACAAAATTATACATATATTTGAAAAACCATAAATTTATATTTTAGTACAAATTTCAACTTTCACTGAAATAAAAATTTAGTATGAGTGTCTGCACAATTTTAATCCATTTCAAATTATAATAAAATAATTGTAACAAACACTTTTATTTTTCATTAGAATAATCACTTCCGGTAACAAAACATTTCCTCAATAAATCTCTTGAAAAATAAATAACAGTAACAAAGTGACAAAAATGAAATATTATTCCTCATTTACTGAAATACGTAGAAGACAGGCAAAATATATTTTGTTTTGAATATCTGTTCACATCTGAATCACCGTATGTTCTCAATTGTTCCCTGTTTAAGTTAGTTCTTACCTTGAAGATAAAAGTATCAAGTCGGCAGGAAAAAAAGTATTATTGAGTACTTTCACAATATCACCCACTATAACATCCATCCATCTTACAGTTATCCAGTTGTTTCCTCTCAAAACTTCTATTTTTCTATGATTTGTTTCATCATCAGCCCGATGACGTTTCTATAAAAATAATAATTTGCAGACATTATAAAGAATTAAAGGAAAGTTGAGCAGTTGGAGCAGTTGTTTCTGAAAAGTTCAACAACTTACAAAGTTAATTTGTAGAACCAATGAATTATTGAACTGATTTGCAAAGGATATCACTACTTTATAGTGGAATTATAAAATATACTTTCGAGTTCTAGTGTTTTAGATAAACTAACTTGTTTTGAGATTTTTGCCTCTGTATAATTCATTAATATATAGTATTATTAGAAGTAAAATCATTTTGTGGGGAAGAGCTATATTACAAAAAAAAATTCAAGAGCCTAATATTTCACTTAAACTACTCTTAGCTTATGGTGAAATAGGAATTTCCGCATTATTTATACCTTCGGCAACTTCGCTAAAACCGCAACAATTATACATGTTATTAGATCCACTTAGATTCGTGTTCATTTTTATTCAAATCGAACTGACGTAACTGAGCGTATACCTAATACTGTGTTTGCCGTAATCACCCCTACTAAGACCTATACCGAAATCACCCTGTAGCAATCTTATGGATGTTATCTGAATCAATTCTATAATGAATATTTGGAGTACATATTGAATACGAAAAAGTATTTTACATATAATAAGATGTTCATATGAAAATAGTTGTTTCGTGTGGACTTTGTCTTCCAGTTTGTGTATGAAAGTTACTACATGAATTACACATATTTGAACGTATTTGGTGTTCAAAAACCACTTCTGAAATATTGGCTTCTGCTCACCTTATATACAATTATAAACGTACATTCTGCCACGATCTTTGGTGTAATTTATGACTGACAAAAATCCCCAACTTTCTATTTCCAAGGAACTATCTATCTAAATCGAACACTACATAAAAACATGCAGAAACATGAAAGTTACTTCTTTGCATGATCTACACATCTTTGTAAAGAGTTTCTTCAAAATAAATTGCTTTCTTCCTTTCTTTGAAAGATTTTCAAATTTTTTTGTATAAAGATGGAGAAGTAGAAAGCCAAGAATCCTATGGCTGGGATTGAAACAAATAACCAAATGAATGTCATTACGTACTGTCGTCGATGACTTGAGTAGATTAAACTCATTCATAACATAAAGTTGTAATTTTATGAATGAATTGAGTGCTTTATCTTATAATGTTTATTGATGCTGAAGAGGCAATGAGACATGTCTTATTCTGAAACATCGAATGCCTGATAATTAAATTATTTTCTTTCTCAAAAGTAAAAACTATCGAGAAGAGATACATACGTATTTCGTATGTATTTCGAAATAAATTTCGAAATATTAATCTCTCCCAACTAATAATAATAGAGTATGGTAAACGTCTGTCGAAACTACTCCTCGAAATAACTACTTACCCGCCTAATACCACGCTGGATATTGAATTATACTCGACAGACAATTATGCAAGATTCCTCACAGAGGTTAGTCTCGCAGATGTTTCTCGTTCATCCAGCAGCAGGACCATACTGAAATTTTCAAGTAGATCACCTGCAGACCGCGGTTTCGAGGTATTACCTCTCGTCAGTACAGGAAAGATCCTACCCAGACAGCAAAGTGTCTGGGACTCGACTAATCTCAACACGGTTCCGCTACATATATGAAACCTTCGTCTGAGAGAAAGGTACTTAACTAGTAACTCCATCTCCTGAACAAAGCTCCAAGCGGAGAAGAGACATCCCATATATCCAAACTCTAACATACAGTGTCACCATTAAAGTGCGCACCATATGGGAAACTTTTTTATCGAAAAGTTTCAATGAAGTTTAACTTCGGCACTTGTTTGTGCTTTGAATTTAACTTAAAATGATGCGGCCAACTGCGACCCACTGACGTTCAGTGTTTGTCAAATTCAACTTGTTTTTTGAAAAAAATTGAAAAAGTGCATTTCTAGATCGAATTTAACAAAAAGTTACTTGAAAAAGTTGTGTCTATGGCAATTTTATATCCTAATGCCAAATTTTATGCAACTAGGATAAAGATAACGTTTTGCTTATTTTTGACAGATATCCCCTTTATTTTAAAAAACAAGTTCCGGTAATTGTCATCAATTCATGTATACGTAACAAACTCATCATGGTGTTTACATTTGTACTTATAGGTACGGACATTTTTAGAGAGAAATTAAAAATTTGCTATAAAAATTTCAACATGACTGGTGCAAAGTTTCAATCACTTGGCTAT